TAATCACATTGGTTTTGTCAAAGCACTTTAAAAGATAAAAATCTGACTCATTACCTCTACTCATAGTGTAGTTTTTTTGAGTTGCATTGCTGTTCGGTAGCCACTAATCATGTTCATTAAGATCTATGTATGCAAAATGCATACCCTTAAGTACAACTACATTTACACTTAACACGTGTATTTACATTCACACATCCAGTAGTACAAACTACTTTTTATATTATATCTACCATGCTCCAGATGAACTCCTAAAATGAATTAGCCCTTCTATATGTTGGGATTCCCTCCTAAGATCCATTTATTATGATACATATGAGCTAACAGTATATTGAAGACTAATATATCTTCATTAGATACAAACACAATACTTACTTTAGAAACCAAAAATAGTCAAAATGTAAATTGCATCGCCATCTAATTTTTTAAAATCATCTCTACTGGTCACTAATTAAATTAGGCATACTGATTGTAAATACAGTAAAGTAACAAGTCTCTTTAATCAAGAAAAACCAGGATGAAGCGAGGAAGAAGAAAAGGAAAGATAAGGAAACATTGTAAAGGTCATAACAAGGCAAGCATTTCTACTGGAAGATATTTTCACTACACTATAAGCAAGCTATGCCAAGTCATGTACTTTTCACACACAAAATTATATTGTATCAAATTTAAATTTGTTACAACTGCCATGCACATTAAACCAGTGATAACGAAAATGTAACGCAATATCTGATCTAGTGAAACAGCGACCAACATTAGCTCCCAGCCACATGAAGACAATCTCCAATGCCATTACTGGTGTCAGCTAAACCTCAGCCAGTCTGTCTTCTCCGGCCATTTTTAAATAAATATGTAACTATCTCAATTAGGAGATCTTGAAGAAAGCCTCCTGATGAGGTGATTCTGTTGCTCATTCTCAGTGTCCTGCATTTGCTGTACTTAAAATAGACACTTGTACCAATGTCCTTTCTATTACCCGAAGGGGGAAAAAAAAATCACATACACACCAGTCTTTTTTCTTTCAGCTCACAGAGAAGCAACTTGATCCAACCAGTGTCGAAACCTGAGTAGGTCACTGTACACCATGATAAAATTCCCTAATCCCTGAGCCAAATCTCCCTAAGGGGGGCCTTCTCCTGATCCTCTACTTCCCAGGCTGACTTTTCCATTCGCTCTCTCCTCTTTCCCCCTTTCATTTCCCCTACCTTCAAGCCTTGATATGTGATCCTCGGTGGGGGCTCAGGTTTCCGTTTTTACAGCTTAGGCCGCGCTGGCTGTATACATTCCTTTCTTTCTGCCGGGCAGTGATTACTTACCAGGGTTTAGTTTACACTGGTCCAGATGAAAGCCGTTCAGATGAAGGCAAACACAGCCAGGCCGCTCCAGCAGCGCCGATATGAAGCTGCACAAGGCCACATTGTGTTCTCGGTGACATTTTGTTGCACATATTTTTATACAGGGCAACCAACTTGTTATGTTACTCTACACTGTAGGTTTGCGGACAAGGAGGAGTAATAATATGATGAGGCTAAAGGAGGGGTTTTATTCATGTGGTTATTAATATTAAAAGCAGAAAACATAGTAATGAGTTCAAAATAACCTTTTCACTGTTTGACTCTGAGAAATTACTTTTCAGATGAGGACTTTGGGTGCTCTTCTATTAGAGGAATACCTACAAAACAATTCCACTAGAAACGGGAATTCATGCCTATTGGCATGGTGTGCACTGACATGACTGAAGATTTCCGCCGGGATCTCTCATACATGGGTCCAAACCAGACAGAAAATACCAGTGCTCCAGGCGACTGAATTATTTGCTGCGTAAAACTTATTTAATGCTACTCTGCACAGAAATGAGGAGGACTAAAACTTCAAATAGTAGGTGGTGATTTGGAAGAAAAATAACATTTTAAAAAGAGGAAATTCTGTGCACGAAGGTTAATACCATACTTAGTCCTGAAGCATTGGCTAAAAATTGTGTAATTTTTCCCCTTCACACAATGTTGTTTTTGTTTCTTCCTCACCAGTTCAGACAAACATCTGTTATACTGTAGAAGGACAACTATCTCCCAAACCACGGAGTGCGCCCGCAGCCAAAGTCAACAACTCGAGCCCCAAGCATTGAGCACAGTCAGCCTTTATATCCAGCCGGGATAACATTTCACATGTTTTGATTAAAATTAGCTAATTTGTAATTCTAGAACCTATGAAACTTAAAAGCTGCCATCCATATAGATCACATTAGGCCGTGTTTTAAAGGGCCAGTGCACACTGTGATTTCCTAGTGGCTTCCCTTCTCTCCTCTTCCTCCACCCCCCAATTTAAAATGAAATGGAAAAGTAATCTGGAAATGCAAGACAGGAGGAAAGGGTAAGCGAGAAAGAATGGTTATTGTAGACTGTTTGAATTCCACCCCCATTGTAAGACAACAACTCCTACTGGTCTCTCTTTTTAAAAACTATCATTGAATTCAACAGTGGTTTCCATCGGAAGGAATGGCATTGATTTCCAAGGCAAATCTTCCTTAACTCTCCTTGGACTGATTGATGCTGCCCCTCATGCTTTCAGGCACAAAGTTCCTCACCCAGAAATAAAAACTCTAATCTCCAAATCGAGATTGCTACAGACATTTTCCGGTGGAAAGGAAAGCTAAACACATGCACCTAGGTACTCATATAACAAGTCTTATCCATGTGCTCCTTTCTGAACGGGGGCTTCCCAGAAGGCACCCTCATAGAATATGCTTGTTCTAAGCAAGAAAGCATCAAAAGCGATAAATTTTATTTAGTTGCATGCCATTTTCATCCAGTCTGTCTTTTAAACACAAACTTCCCCAACCTGACCAAGTCAGTTGGCAGTGTTTCGAATTCTATGCAGAAGATGGGGAACACCAGGACGGCTGCAGAATGAAAACTAAAGTCCCCCTGAAAACTGCTACTTGTTTGTAATTCACAGAAAGAAAAAAATATATATTTTTTGAAATCCAGAAAGACTCGTGAAATCAACACAGAATAAAACCCTCGCCAGGCAAAAGCTTCAACTTCATGGAAAAACTCCGATTTGATGGGGGGGGGTGGGGGGGGTCCGGAGCTGAGCGGTACTCTTGTGCAATCGCTCCAACGCGAACAGCTGGAGCGCCAGGCTGCTGCGCTCACCACCTCTGGAGCACCGCTGGCCTGGCGGGGAGCCCAGCCTCGCCGAAAGGACTCCGGGCTGGCCTTTCCGAACAATGGGCAGGCGCTCTGGAAGGCCGCCCCTCAGACAGTTATCTCTCAGCCGGGCTAGCCCGGGTCTGCTCAACTGTGAAGTGGAGCACGCCAAGGCGAGAGGGAGGCGGAGGCAGCCGAGGGAGAGGAGCGGACAGGGGCGGGCAGGGCGAGCCGGCGGTCAAAACGGTACCCAGCCCCATACCGCTGGGGCCGCACTTGCCGGGACACTGACAGCCTCTTCACACCATCGCAGCTGGCTAGTTGGGGGGAAGCGGGATCGAGGAGCGGGGAGATGAACTGGAGGGAAGGGTGGAATCGAGCGCTCCCGGGGTTCCGCGGCCCGGCAGCTCCTTAACTTTGGAGGCATCCGAGGAATGGTTCCCAAAGAAAGGGGGAAAAACTACACCGCCGACTAGGAAAGCCTCCTCACCATGTCCACCCGCCACTTGGGCCCCCGGTCCCCCCCCACTGAAACGCGCCTGTGCCAACCTGGGGTTTATAAGGTTAAATAGTATGTGGTTTCCCGGCCGCCCCCCCCCCCCCCCCCCATCAAATCGGAGGTAGGCAAATCTCGGGGATGCAGCCCGCGAGTTGGCCTCGGTTTTGCACCTGGAGGAGGAGCTGAGGCTTTCTGGGCATCCTACAGAAACTGACAAGCGCTCCCCGTGCCCCCCAAATCCTTACAACGGCCCAAAGGGAGCGGGAGGAAGAAAGAGCTCAGTCTCTCCAGCCCCGAAGTCCAAAAATACCTTCATTTCCTCATTGATCTCTCTTTTCACTGGGTGAGCCGGTTTCCTGCTCCTTTTATTTTCCGGAGGTCTCCCTTCTTTCTCCATTTCTGCCATGTTTTTGTGTCTGGTTTCTGTGGAGATGAAATGGCTGCTGCCGCCGCCGGCAGTGGTGGTGGTGGTGGTGGTGGTGGTGGTGGTGGTGGTGGTGGTGGTGGTGGTGGTGGTGGTGGAGGTGGTGCTGATGGTGGCAATGCTGGCGGAGGTGGGGGTGGGGGGGGGGCTGGGGCGGGGGCGGGGGGGGGGGGGGGCAGGCGGGCGCCGGAGAAGCGGGGTCTCTTCTAGCGGCGGAGAACGTCAGTGGCTGTCAGAGGGAAAGGTAGCTCGAGGAGTCTCGGGGATGCCGCCGCCGCCGCCGCTCCTGCTCCCGCTGCCGCTGCCGCCGCCGCCGCCAACGCCGCCGCCGCCGCCGCTGCCCCTGCCGCCGCCGCTGCTTCTGCCGCTCCCGCCGCCGCCGCCGCCGCCGGGCTGCATCCTCGGTGCCCCGTGGAGTCGTCAGCCATCTTCCGTCGCTCTGTCCGTCTGCATGGGCGAGGGGAACGAGGGCCGGGCGCGGAGAGAGCTGCTCTGGGCGTGCGTGCGTGGATGTGTGTGTGCGCCCGGGAGAGCGCGCCAGCCCCGGCGCCCAGCGCCTCCCGCGAGCCGAGCCGGGGGCGGGCCGGGGGACGGCGCGGGGAGGAGGGGGCGGGGGAGAGCTAGGGCAGGGAGGGGGCGGGAGGGAGGGGGAAAGGTGGGGGGGCTAGGACGGCCCCCGGCTCCGGAGCGGGCGTGGCTTCCACCGTCACTGAATACGCGGATGCTGCGCGGCTTCGGGGGCTGCTCGCGGCCGCTTGCTCATCCGCGGCGGGCACCGGCGGGACACGGCGCCCCTCGCGGCTACCACCTCGGCAAGACGGCCCCCCGGGGCCGCCCCGACCCCAGCTGTTCTCCTTAGCTCAGTGATGTGGGCTCGCGTGGGTCTGGAGTTGGCTTTTGAGCCCGTCCTAGAAGCTGCTGAGAGTAAAAAATGAATGGGGGTGAAGGGAGGAGGTTGGGCGGTGGGAGGGCACGGGGACCCGAGGTCGAGTTGCAAGAGGGTCGATTTCCTCCCCAGCCCCCCACCCCCGCCCCGGGGAAAGCAGACTGCGCTCGACGCCTGCGGATCCGAGCTCTGGGGTCTTGCGGGAAGGAAACCACAGCCCTGACCGCCCCCCCCCCCGCCACAGTTGCCAGGACAGTGTTCCCCTCCGGGGGCCACCTAAGGGCGCGTGGAGGCGGGAGGCCCCCTGGAGAGGTCCCTGCGTCCGCTCTGCGGGTCCCCAACGCGGCGCGGGCTACGACTGCGCTGGCAAGACCGCTTTGCCTCTCAATGAACCACTTAGAAGTAGGACATCTCGGCCCTCAGCCCCCTGTTCTTTCTTCCTTCTTTTCCCTCCAGTTCTCTCTCTCTCTTCCTCTCTCTCTCTCTCTCTTTCACACACACACATACACACACAGTGTCTCACTACAAAGTAACAGCTTTACCCTGTGACCCCGTGCGCGCCCTTGTTCCAGTGCCCTGGGCTTAACCTCAAAAGCACTGGGTGCTGCTGGGAGCGCAGGGTCCCGCGTAGGGTTCCATCCTCCGGGAGCTGGCTGCCCTCGCCCCGCCCGACGGGACCCTCCCTACACCGCCCGGCGACACTTCACCGCGACTTCCCTGCGCCCGGCTGCTCTCCCCCAGCCGTGATCGCTCCCCCTGAGCTCCCGCGCCTACGCTTGGGCCCTCTCGGTCCACGCCTGGGGCCAGCCAAGCGCGGATTGCGTTCGTCGCTCTCTGGGTTGGGAGGCACTGGCGTTAGCGGTTTGATGAAGCTTCCGTAAGATACGCAGCCCTGGATGCACGTACGCGCTGCAGGGGACACATTGACGTTCCCCTCTTCGCTTTCCCGCGCCGCGACACTTCGTAATTACCTGACACAATGCGATATGGGGGTGTCCATTGTTCCACTGCTTGATATTATGGAGTGTTCATTATAACAGTGGTGGAACTTAAAATTACACAATTTTTTTAAGTACTTAAAGATTGAATGAATCGGTTTGGGGAATATGAGTCAGCTTTCCATTAAAATCTGTTTGGCCTGTCAAATGAGGCTCATTCTGGGTATCACATTGCCTAATTTGAATTTTAGCCTTGTTTTGTTTCTTGAACGTCGAATTAGAGATATTTGGGGACGTACTCGGGAGGACTAGGCACCTCCAAGGTGGCTATTTTGCATCTTAGCTTTATTTTGTTTCGTAAATGCCAAATTACAAATACTTGGGAGTGTGTCCAAGAAAGCTGAACACCTCCCCTCGCCTCTTTTCTTCCCTGTGTGGAGGGACGGGGAAGGGGGTGGGGGAGCCGCACCCTACTCTGCCTGGCTCGCTGGATCCCAGGCGAGCCAGGAGGCCAGAGTGAACGAGGCAGAATCAGACTCTGCTCCTGCAAGAGGTCCAAGCAAAACATTTGCCCGGAAAAAATGTTCAAGATCCTGGGGCGGTTATCTGGGGCAGAAAAAGTCAAGAGAGGAGGATTGCTGAGTTTTTAGGGAGAGCTCTGTGGTACAGGCGTCCCTTTATTCAAGATTTTTCCGGCAACCTCTGGAAATGTACCCAGGTATACACAGGTGTGAACCCAAGTCCTCTGGGAAGTCTTGAAGCCAGTAGTAGCCCACAAATGACCAACAATGACCCTGGCAGCAAGAATGAGGAGAGGAGCCCAGTCCTGTTTGCACTAACACGCTTCCCCCCCTTTCCTAGAACAATAACACAAGATCCCCCAAAGTGTGAAAGTGGGTGTATTTCTCAGTGAAGAATAGCATCCTAATGCTGTTGTCAGTAGGAAGAGATGAAGAGTGGGTCTTTTGGTTTTTCATTCTGAATTTCATCCAAAACATCTGATAATATGTGGGTTGGAGGCAGTTTGTTTTCTGTTTTGTCCTCTTGGTCTTTAATGAGAAGTAGTCAGAAACTTTTTTTTTTTTTTACTTTTGAATATTCTAAACCGGTGGAAACATATGTTGTAAAGTATACACAAAGGGAAGCTTTTTGTCTTCTGGAAACATATTTAAGTCCCCTCTGTTTCCTTTGGTGCCAGAAATATTACAGTCGATTCACTGTTGTTCACTGGATATCAAATAACAGGTTATATACCCGAAGTCCTAAGATACAGTTTCACAAGTTAAGAATAAACAGAAAAGGTGAACTGTAGCCCAGAGTTATATTTAGAGGCAGCTATACTTCCTTTAAAGAAAATTTCTTCTTCTGCACTGGCTCGTTTAATAAAAATAGTGATATTAATCAGCCACCTGTCCTTTCACAGTCATATGTCCTCCAGAAAAACTGAGGTGAGAATGTTGTCCTAGAATCCATGATGCATATCTTCAGTGACAGAATGAAAGCCCATATAATATGTGTGAGGGAACTTTTAGTCCAGAATGAACTTCAGAACTAATGATTGTTATACCTTGTTAATGGCAAGTTTTAGGTTTCTTCAAATGTGTTATATATGAAGACAATTATAACAAGAGTTGCTGCTTTATGAATTTGGACATATCATGAGTCTAATAATGTTCTGTTGATAATTTTATTTTTTTTCTGTTGATAATTTTATACAGTCTGTTGGACTATAACCCTATGTAGGTAGGAACAATCTCCTATATCTCAAAAAAGCCACTCTTTCCTACTATGACTTACCATTATGTTCCAGCCACCAGTTCACACACACATACACACACACACACACACACACACACACACCACCAGTCAAGGCCCTAGACATAGAAATAGTCTTCAATATTCCCTTTACTACCTCTGACAGTCACCAAGAAAAGTATAGGAATGACCTTTTTCATACATTTCTCAGGTATATTTTTGTGACTTTTACTCTTCAAGGCTTCTCTTGATATTCATTCAAACCAAATTCACCTGGAAAATACAACAGAGAGAAGATAGGAAAACCCCAGGATGGTGTGCTTTGGGCTCTTAACCTCTAGATCTGCTTCTTTGTTGTCTCTAAGAACACCTAACTCAGAGGCCCAGTCTTCATGCCTGGTAAGGAATGAATAAATATTTGCTGATTGATTTGTATGACATAATAACAAACTTACAAAGAGACTTTACTGTATATTGTTTGAAATTAATGCTCATCTTGAATAAGCTCTGTGGTCTAACCAAATATGGGACTAAAATATGTGGGGTAGTTACTATGCTGAACACACTGTAAAAACTACCTCATTTAATATTTACAAAATCTTATGAGGCACCTTTTACTGTTATCCCTATTTCACAAATGAGGAAACTAAGGCTTACACAAGCTAAGTTATTAAGTCACAAGCTACTAAGTATCAGGATTTGAGTCTGTAACTTTCTGTCCAACTCTAGTTACGGAGTTCTTGATACTACGATAACCTGACTTAATGAGCCCCTTTTAATAATCTGAATTTTATCTAATCTAAGCCCCATGGATTTTTTTTTACATTTTCACACCTCTGAGATTGTAATATATCTTACAATGATTTCTTACAATTATGAATGACAGCTTTTTCCACCCCTCAATACTCCATAAAATAATAGCACATTCTCCAATCAGTGGTGTAGTTGGTTATGTTAGGTTAAGCTGCAATGGCAAATTAGAAAATCTCAGGACTTAAAGCAACAAACATTTCTACTCCTTGCTCACAAAAGTCTCCTGAAGGTCTGTGTGACTCTCCAGAGCAACTGTCCTCCGTGTGAGGTCTTGGCATCGCACCTCCATGCCACCATGTGGTTCCACAGCCATGGCTCTAGAAGAAGATGGAACCCTGCAGGATCTCTCACCAGCAGTTAAATGCTCCAGCCTGGCAGGGTCTTATGTCACTTCTGCCTCCAATCCATTGACTAGAGTTAATCATATGATTCTGCCCAGCTGCTAGGGAAGCTGGGAAATTTAATTCTCCCATGTTCCCCACAGGAAAGGAGAACTGGATATGGGGGAGCATTTAACATATACCACAAGACATCTTCATTGAATGAAATATGGTCATTAGGATCAATTAATGTAAATATCAGGGATCTTTTTTATTCAAAATCAATGAGCAGCAATGGGCCTGTGATTTGTTATATGCCACCTAAAACATGCTTTCAAAGTTCATGCTCATGTTTAATTTCAGAGAATGGAAATTCAAAATCAATTTCAAAAAAAGAACATTATGAAACAGCTTAACTATAATGCAGGAACTTTAACCAGGGGTCTACAGGTGAGCTTCCAGAGCTTTGGAAACTCCTAAAATCATATATAAAACATTCAGTTGATTTTTTTCTAGGGAATAGGCACATATGTGTCATCATATTCTCTCTTAGGATTCATGACTTATTCATTCATTTATTCAACAACTATGTATATTGAGGCCCTGCCATATTCCAGGCACTGTTCTGGGTGCTTGGGATCTAGCGGCAAACACAACAGGTAATTTTTCAAATTTCAGAAAGCTTATAGCCTGGGGAGGGGACAATAAGCAAGCAAACAAGCAATAGAGAAGGTAATTTTGGATACAGAGAGATGACAAAAGAACAATGTGATAGAGAAACTGGAGTAGGCTACAAGGCTCTGAGGTCTGCTACATCAAGGGCATTGTGAAGGACATCATCCACGATCCGGGCCGCGGTGCACCCCTTACCAAGGTCGTCTTCCAGGATCTGTACAGGTTTAAGAAGCGGACGGAGCTGTTCATTACCGCCGAGGGCATCCACACCTGCCAGCTCAACATAGGCAATGTGCTCCGGGTGGGCACTATGCCCGAGGGCACTATTGTGTGCTGTCTGGAAGAGAAGCCTGGTGACTGGGGCAAGCTGGCTTGAGCCTCTGGAAACTATGCCACGGTCATCTCCTACAACCCAGAGACCAAGAAGACCCGAGTGAAGCTGCCCTCAGGCTCAAAGAAGGTCATTTCTTCAGCCAACAGAGCTGTGGTCGGTGTGGTGGCTAGAGGTGGCCACATTGACAAGCCCATTCTGAAGACTGGCCGTGCCTACCACAAGCATAAGGCAAAGAGGAATTGCTGGCCACGTGTGCGGGGTGTGGCCGTGAACCCTGTGGAGCATCCTTTTGGAGGTGGCAACCGCCAGCACATCGGCAAACCTTCTGCTATCCATGGGGATGCCCCTGCTGGCCACAAAGTGGGTTTTATTGCTGCCGGCTGGACCAGGCATCTCCGGGGAGCCAAGACTGTGTGGGAGAAAGAGAACTAGGGGCTGAAGGGCTCAATAAAGTCTGTCCTGTCACACACACACAAAAAACAATGTGGACAGATGCACAGGGTCAAGAAACCTTCCTTTGCGTGGGAAGGCCTGAGTTTCTTCCTGGCTCCGTTATTTGTATATAGGGGTCATCTGGCCATCAGTAGCTCTGCCATTAAACACCAGGTTAACACAGTCAGGCACACCCCTGAGTGGGGATCCCCTTCCTCCTTGCTGTTCCAAAAACATTCTTGTCCTCTTTGCCATGCTGTCAAAGGGAAGACCATGACTTTCCCAGAAGAATGAGGGTCTTTTTTCAGTCACAGGTATATAAGAAGTTCCTCAGCTAGTAGCTTCAAACAGACTCAAGGTTCTTTGCAGGACAATAAGGGGCTTCATTTCTTTAGTGAGGGCTTGAGCAAGTGATTTTACCTTAGTCTTCATTTCCTCATACGTGAAATGAGAATAGTAAGTTACATTTTGAAGTACTGTTGTTGTAACTACATATTACCTATTAAAATGAACTAAAAATAAAACTGCACAAGTTTCTCTGGACAAATATGTATTATCTGCTCTTTTGAGAATCATTATTGTTTTACAATAGCCTTAGGTTTATATGTACAGACGAACAGAGTTATGTGACAATTTAAGGAAACCTGACACATGAGGAATAATCACCTACATAATAGCAGTGTTCTTCATTTTCAGTATGATGTACACCCATGTCCATTTTTTTTAAGATTTAATTATTTATTTATTTGACAGACAGAGACACAGCGAGAGAGGGAACACAAGCAGGGGGAGTGGGAGAGGGAGAAGCAGGCTTCCCGCCGAGCAGGGAGCCCGATGCTGGGCTCGATCCCAGGACACTGGGATCATGACCTGAGCTGAAGGCAGATGCTTAACCAACTGAGCCACCCAGGCGCCCCTCACCCATGTCCCTTTTAATAGTAATTTGCTAGAATGTTATAATTTTAACTTATAAAAATGAGATTTTTATATACACTTTCAAGAACATTTCAACAGTACCCATTGAGGCAAGCATACCACTACCTATCAATTCAAGGAAAAGATTAATTTGAGTTATAATTTTTAATTTGTATCCACTGAATTAAAATGAGATCAAAGCCCCGTATTTATTTACTCCAAGCATCGCTATGCTCAAAAAGAAATGTTAAGCTCCACTATCAATGTGTATGTCTGAATATAACAGCTTTATGTGTAGTAAAGCCAGTGGAAATAAATGAAGATCACCCAAAGGAAAACAAGCAAAGCCTGTTTATCTAGGGCCAGAAGTCAGCCACCAGCACCTGCATTTGGCAGAGACTCAAAGGCAGGTATGCGGGTGGGAGAGCTTTATAGTGGAAAATAAAAGGCTTCAGGTATATTCTGATTGAAGACTTTTGGCATGGAGAAACTGAGGGCTAACCAGAAGGTGGGGACCAACTGGAAGCAGGACATCCTATGTGATTAATTTGGGGAGCATATTGGGCTTTCTCTAGTTGGTCCCAAGTTGGAAAGGGGAAGTACGGTAAGGAATTGGAGAGCTGGGGGTCATTGTCCAAATCCCAACCATTCTGGGCCGATGGTGGCAGAGGCGATTTGGCTTCTCTGGTTTGTTGCTTCCAGTGTGATGGGTCAGAGTTCTATTGCCATATGGCCTTTGCCATTGTATATTTGTACAGTCAGTCTCTCAAATTTAAGCCTGGCAACTAAGAAGAAACTAGCTCAAGGTTTAAGGCAGCTTCCATTTGTGGTGAGATAATATTTTGATGTATTAAGAAATGCTTTGTTTTGTTTATACTTGCTACTTCCTTTCTATCCCATGCACTTATTCATTCATTTGGCATCCATTGCTTCAGAGTAAGGATGCTATGAGATAAATTCACAGAAAAATATGACTTAGTTATCCATGACTTTTGAGACTTAAAATGGAATTGTGAAATTCAAAGCAGAAAAGAGAGTTTGAGAGAAAACTTTTTCCGAGTTTCAAAAGTCTAGATTTTGAGTGTCAAGACCCAATGACCTGAAGGATTTAGATTAAAAGTTTATGCCATAAAAAGTAGCTTTAGAAAAAAAAAAATTGACAAGCCAAGGGAAGTTTTTCCAAATCAGAAAGAGACCACAATTCTGTGTGGTTGGGATAAAGAAGGAGCAAAGACGCTTAGATGATGGAAGGAACCTTACTGTAGATTCCCAACCAGGTCCCAGTGCCCTGGGGAATGGGAGAAACTGGAACACTTGCTAGGTTTGGGGGAATATGAAGGCAGAGGGCTGAAAGCAGAGATGACTCGTGTCTCCCTCCCTTCAAGGCAGAGCCTGAAACAGCAGCAAGCCTTATAGAACAAATCAGCCCAACACAGAGCAGGTAAGTGCAGTGAGGATAGGCACAGTGGAATGAAGAAGCCTGAGCAGAAGGTCCTGGGGTAGCCATAAATACTCTCCACCCGCCATAATGTGTGTTTCACGTGAGGCTAAGAATGGAGCAGGTGTGACTCTGAGAGACTGCAGAATCGGAGTAGTCCTGCACCCAAAATGTTGGATGAGAGATTCCATGAAGACTTCCTTCTCAGAGGATGCCAGCTGGAGAAGTGACTATGTCCGAGGAGTAAATGCCACCCACCCTACCCCCACCTGCCATGCAGATGCTAGCCCAGTGAGAAAAGTCCAGGGGGTGGGCAAAGAGAAGACCAAATCAACTTAGATTATCTGGAGGTTTTCTGCCTTCTAGCACAGTAGTTGTTGTATGAAACAGAGACTGAGTTCAGTTACACGGAAGTAAAGAAAGTAAAGAAACAAGTAGCAAATACCTTGGGTTTTTACATTGATACTTAAAATTCACATAGATATTTATTCTGTAACTCAAATTTGCTTTTAAGCAATTTCTACAAATGGAGTTTTCTGACTCCTGGAGTAAATTTGGGGCATTATCTGCCCAATTATTTAACATCTAAATAGTATTGTCCAAACAATAATAGTTTCTTTGGGGTTATAGCCTTAATATCATAATAAGACCAACTTAAAAAATTTAAGAACATTTTTTTAAAGATTTATTTATTTATTTATTTATTTGAGAGAAAGAGAGAGAGCACAGAGGGAGAGGGAGAAGCTGACTCCCCTGCGGAGCAGAGAGCCTGATGCAGGACTCGATCCCAGGACCCTGAGATCATGACCTGAGCTGAAGGCAGGCACTTAACCAACTGAGTCCCCCAGGTGCCCCAAAACTTAAGAACATTTTCAATAGTCAAAATTTAGTCAAAATTCTGGTACATATAAAACCTAACTTAGCATCTGAGTTATCTTCAATTGTCATTGCCTTCCTCAACGATATCCACGGATGAAATCAGAACTCTTTATTTGAATTATATAGATAATAACATACACTTATAATACTATATTTCCTTTCGACAAATAATCAAATGCCCTTAAACTTATTAGACCTCTGACAGTCCTGTTGAGTGATATCATCCACTATTGTGTGGTGGATTCCTGCTACGAGCCAAGTATTTTGCAAACAATATGTCATTTATCTCTCCCAACCATGGTTGAGAGTATAATTGTCCCCATTTCACATCTTAGGAGAGTGAGGGTGAGCACAGAGTCACACTAGGAAGTGGCCAATCAAGGATAAATGTCCACGATCCACCGATGCCAGGTCAAGTGAGGTATGCTTTCACCTACACTGCACTCTGCTCCTCTCTGCTCAGCCCTTTTACCCCCTTTTCTTGGGAAAATAGAGCATGCAGCTAGGTAAATTTTAATTTCATCTTTTTTTTTTTAAAGATTTTATTTATTTATTTGAGAGAGAGAGAGAGAGAAACAGCATGAGAGGGGAGAAGGTCAGAGGGAGAAGCAGGCTCCCCGCTGAGCCGGGAGCCCGATGCGGGACTCGATCCCGGGACTCCGGGATCATGACCTGAGCCGAAGGCAGTCGCTTAACCAACTGAGCCACCCAGGCGCCCCTAATTTCATCTTTATTTTAATTTATACATGGCTGTCATAAAAATTAAAACAGCTATACCAAAACACTCAACCTTTCAGAAATAGCATACTACTTTTTAATATTCTCAAACCAAATATGGTATTCAGTAAATGGTTACACAGGATTGATATCTGTGTTTTGACCCAACTCCTTTGAGAAACATTACATGTAGTAAAAAACATTTTTCTTTCACAGAAAATTTGTCTGCAATGTGCTGTTTGGCCATAAGTCATCTCTTTATTACATCCCAGAGGGAGGAAGTTGAATGGGAAAGATTCCTCAGTTTAACTATGAGAGGACATTATACATTTCAGTGGAAGAAAAAAAAATTCATCAAAAGCGAAGTCCGTAAATTAAGGATTCCATAGTAGGTCTTGGGATGTAGGCTGTGTGTGTGTGTGTGTGTGTGTGTGTGTTTTTAAGTAAGTCTGTTAAAGCTACTAAATTTGTATGCCACATGCTAAGAAGGACTGTGTCTTTGACGCCATTTTGCCCTTCCCCATGTAAAGTCGGTGGGTCTTTCGTGCAGCTGGTCTCCTTTTGAAAGCATCGAAGTGAGGACGAGCTGGCAGGGACAGACAGAAGAGAGAAGATCCAGGTACTCCCCAAGAAAGTCCCAGGATGTGCAGGCTGGGCAGGCCCTGAAGTCCTAAACTGGAAAACAAAGCAAAACAAAACAAAAACCCAGCATGGGAAAAAATGAAGTGCATTACTGAACACAGAGTGCACACTGGGGTGTTCTTTTTATGTGGTGAGCAGTAGAGTTTTGTGGCCTGGACACATGGACAATTGCTAAGAATTTAGTAATACAAGAGCTACTATTTATTGAATGCTTCTTTATTCACTAGGGACTGTGCAAAATACTTTACAGAGATTATTGTGTTCAGTCCTCACACAGTTGACACAATATTTGGGTTGGGTCCTGTTTTACAGATGAGGAAATGGAGGGCCAATGGGAGTGAGTAGGCCAGCAGTCTGACTCCAGAGTCTAGAACTCTCTCTGCCTTGAAACGCCAATGGTACTGGCGAG